TATATATATATTGTTATTTTTTTTTGGGTGTACGATGTAATGGTAAACATCTACTCTTCATAATAACAACCGTGATGCCCTTCATCATTGCCGGTGTAGAATTTGTTATGTGTTGTTTTGCACACCTTGTTTGTGCAAGGCGTCGAATATCTGATACGTCGTTGGAACTGTAGCACATGATAGATTTATCGTGTTCCATTTACCAATGTATATTCGTTTTTCGAAAAGATTTGCGCGAAGGCTCATCTCCATTAGAATGCAAACTTTAGCTATATGTTTATAATATATATTAAAAAAAGAAAGAAAAAACAAAAAAAATAACGTACATTGCAATCTGTAAAGAAGGGGGGGGAAAAAACTTTAGGGCTTATTTTTAATCCGTTATTTGATATGCAAAATACATCGTTGAACTACTAAATTTGATGATGAACAAATCAAATTTGGTAGTCATCATCTCTTCAATTAATATTTTGAAACTTTCAATTATGGGTCTGTTTGGGGACGTTTTTTTACGGCTTCGCGGCCCCGATTGGCTCCAGCGTTGCGGCAGAAAAGCTAAATCGGGAGAAAAGTGGGCCGCGGTATCCAGCTTTCGCCTCGTCAAATTCTATAATTGCCCTCGCAACCCTCGTTCCCTCCGTCGCCGTCGTTCTGCCCTCTGTAATAAAATCCCTAGTTTTGTGACGTCATGAACAAATCCTTCGCCTTCCCAATTCTTGCGGCTTTGCTTTCTCGCGTTTGGGGGAGACGCACAATGGAAGTTCGCTGCCGTTTGACCCATTCTCTGCCTTTGGATACGTTCGCTGTCTTTCACCGCCGGATATCAACAATAGCTGACCATTTCACCGCATTCACCGTAAGCTTTCCTAGGTTCCCATATCCTGACTACTTCATATGCCAACGATGATATTTCCCTTGCCTTCCAACCTTAATTCCTCTCCATTGTATGTTTTCTATTTCCTTATTGTTTTTACCATATTGCTTGCTCAATTAAATGCTTATGCGGTTATGCCTACCTTCATTACCCCATGTTTTCTAAATTTCTGAAAACAGTAAAAAGTAAAGATATGTAAATTAAGTAAATACATAAGAAATGTGTTAAATGTGTATAAACATGACTCAAGTTTCTTGTTAAATGTGTATAAATATGCCTACCTTCATTCGCCATTGCAACCCTCATTCACAGCGTCGCGGCAGATGTTTCAATAGGTTAATGCCCCAAGTTTTTAAAAAATATATTATTTCTATGCCTTTGGTTGAAAATGTCATGTTGCTGCTGTGATCTTAAATTTCAATTTGTGTTGCATATATGCCCATGTTTGCTAGAGAGGCTTGCACTGAAACTCCCCTTTTATCAGAAGGCTTTCACTTGATCCAAGAGAAGGAAGTGAGACTTAAATGAGAAGGATTTACACATATATATACCAAATAATTCTTATGCATTTACATTCAGAACAACATCTTTGCATTGTTATTTAGTTTCAGTTTTAACATATTTTGAGTTCACACTTATTGGTTATGGGTTTTATTAATGCTAATCATCAACAACTTCCTTTTTGTTGTGGTGTTATGGGTTATATGCCTCCAGATGATAATTTGGGATTTTTGTGTTTGTGCTATTCGATTTATGATATTTTTTTTAAATGACAAATGCTTGGTTACTAACTCATTATAAGGTGTTAAACTTGTGATGCTGCTTGTAAAATTGGGCGGTGTTATGTGTGATCTGAATTTCTGAAGGCTTGGATATGTGGTGATAGCAGTGGTATTGGGTTGGACAATAATTCTTACGTATTTACTTATGTAATACCTAAATTCTAATATTACATGATTTATTTACCCTATATATTTATCATTATGTTTTCCTTGAATTTCTCTTTGGATTGTGCCATGCCTTTGATGATAATCACTGCTTTCATTTGTCATTGGTTGGGACATATTCGGATATGAAATTTTGAGGGAATTCCTAATTATAACTTTGTAGTAGAAATATTTATATTCATACCATTCAATTATTTTGTAATTATATATGTAAATTGAAGTGTTAGATGAGTGGTATGCATGTAAATTTTTCAATGTTTTTAGTGTTAAATTGTCTAATTGCTTATTTTTAGAATCCTTCAAGCTTGGGCTGCTTTGTATTAACATTGCATTTAGTTAGCTAAGTTTTTTTATTGCAGTCCAGGTTTATTATTAGCCAGTAATTAGATGTATAATGCAGATTTGATCTCCAATCTGGAATACATCTGTCGGTTCCTCCATATTTTCATGCAAGTATTGGAGGATTGCTTTTGGTAGAGCAGGTACAGCCTTGTAAATTCCATGGGAATGACAAGGTTTATGTGTTTTCATCGTTGGTTGCATTTTTTGCAATTTTCTGCTAATGATTTATTTTCTGCTCATGATAATTGGTTGCAATTTTTGCAAATCTAACATCTGAACTTTAGTTTCTACATATATGCCACTTGAGAAGACATATTTCTCCTTTTAAAAGTTAAAATAGTGGTATTTTTGATGTGATATGAAATATGTGGGTTGTAGAAAGGTGAAATGAAAATTTTAGGTGTAGAAACGGAAATACATAATTCTTATTCGACAGGACATGCTTCTTATTGCTTAATCTGAATAATATCTCAACTCTAGTTGTTTCTAACATTTTTTAATGCAGTGAGTAGTTAATTGCTGGTGTAGCAAGGGTTCATGCTGTTGTAAGATTTTATTTTGGGTTCATTTACATGCATACACTTGAATTCATGTTTATTTACATACCTATAACATATCGTTTGCAGGTGTAGCAACCATTATTGCCATGATAGTGAACTCGGTCATACTTAAGGCGTAGAATTATTTATCTTTAGCTGATGTGTTGTATCTTTGGGGGCTATGCAAATATTTGTAAAACTTCAAAGTTTATGTGTTAGATATGTAAATACATAAGAGTGTTGCATATATGTTCTTATTTATAAACAGATGTTGTTAACACTTTGGGGTCTTACTAAAGTTCCAAAACAATGGTTGTTATACTATTCTTTTAAACAGTTTCACCAAACATGGGTAGTATGATCTTTTTTTCATAAAACAGCTGGTTTCACGCAGCTGCACCAAACAGACAGCCAACTTCCCCACAGCTGCTTCCTGTGGCAGCGTAGCTGCAGCTGCGCCAAACAGAGCCTATGTCTTGAGTGTTTGTTTTGCGTTTATTTTGTTTGTGATTGTATTGTTTTTAGTTATGTTCGGTATGTCTCGTTTAAATGTTCAGCCGGTGAATTCAACTTGTTCCCTTGCTGCTTTATGCACACCTTTATTTATTTTATTAAACTCTCTATCTAGCATTTAGCTAGTGGTTTTGGGGTCCAAAATTGGAGCGATTATTGCGTGCGGACACTCAGACACAAATTTACGTCAGTTGTCCAATCTGGGCTACTAAAATACATTTTTTTATTTTTTTGTTATAAGAGTGGGACTCCCTCAAATTTTTTTGACAGTCCATATCGGACACCTGACGTAAATTTGTGTTACGTGTTTGCACGCAATAATTCTGGCTCCCAAATTTCAATATTACATTTGAATTTATTTATTCTCTAGCCTGGGTTAGCTTGTCGCTTCGGGGCCAACCAAATTTCTATATGAACAGGTAGGATGCTTATTTGTGCGCCTTTTGGTGACAAATTGATAGGCAACTGTATTGTCAGTCTTAAGACCCCCTGACCTAGGTTTGATTCCTATAGGGATGTATAGCACATATGAGGAGCGGTATTCTTAAATTCCACCCTTAAAAAAAAAAAAAGGTAGGATGCTTATTTTTTCATTATTTATTCTCTTTCTCAAATTTGGATGCTTTGTCTTCAAATTTCTCGCTTGATAGCAAATTTGATTATGAATTTTTCTTTTTTGTGCTTGTATTATTTCGGTCTTCTGGATATTTCGTGAACTCGTATAGCTAAAATATGTAATTGCGAATTATTTTGATGCTGTTAACAAGTGAAAGTAATTTCTAGAGAAAAAAATGTGCGTCTGCATACTACTTATTGCTATTAATAATATTTACTGAACCTCATAAACTGAAGTTTATACAGGCAAATTTGAACTAATAATGTTTTATGTTTTTCCAAATATTTGTTGAGAGCTTTACTTTGAATAAATCATTATGAGCAATATATTAAATTAAAATTTATTTTGGGGCATTTACGTACATAACACCCATTTGATATCTGTTTGCGTATCTAATATTTAAACTTTATTTTTTACATTTATACCGCCCAAAATTTTTATGGCATCGTTAGGGTTAACGAACATAATGAGCTAACAATTTTCTACATTAATGTTGTTTTATGGTGGGGAGCTGACGTCATCATATGCCCCTATCTATATTGGAGGTTATTGCCGCACTGTTCTAGAGCACACTATCACCTCTGCCAGACTTTTCACAGAATATGAGGTTTCAAATTTTATTGATTTTTCTGCATCAGTGATGAACTCCCAAACCTACAGCTATAATGCAAACATATAGTTCAAAATTTTTACTTAATAAAAATAATAAAAATTGCTATAGCTAAAAAAAATTGTCTATGCAGTACAACACAACCATCTAATGTTGAGCCTACACATAGCAGTAACTTACGTGAGCTTGCGCTCGGGATGAGACTCGGGTCATTCTAACTAATGGTGGCTACGAGAGGATGGACAATGACATTAAGCCTGCACATAGCAGTAACTTAAGTGAGCTTCAACTTGGGTTGAGGCTCGGGTCATTTTAATTAAAGGTGGCTACGAGAGAATGGGTGGTGCACAATCGATGGTTCTAACAATTCTTATTGAGATAACTAGATTAAGTACTTTGGGAGTATGACGACACCATAGAGATTATGAGGCACGATGTGCTTAGTACACTCCACAACAAACATAGATATCCTTGATGCAATGTTTATTAGTAATAATTACATTCATGCTTACAGGACGACATAGGAATGGGATGAGGAAGCGACATCATACAATATTACAACCAACTTTGAACACATTAATTGAAGGACAAGTTCCTAATGAATTGGTTGAGAACTTATTTTCTTCTACGAAGGCAGACTTGTAATGTGCGTTTAATGGTTGATAATCAATACTTTGGAATATCACGATCACTCAGCTAGGCCTTGCTAGTGTAGGTTGCATGAAGCAAAAAGTAAAAGGTTAGTTGGCACTCGGAAAATTTCATCTACCATCAGTCGTCATGCATGTGCACACCCAACCTTGATGGGTGGGCACTGACACTGTTAATCTTAATTCATATGCTTATGCTACTTCATCCCCCCATTATTCTTCACCAAACTAACCTGACATCCAAAGAAATTATTTGTCAGATGGAGATTAAATTTAATATTAAAACCTCATATATGAAAGCTTTGGATGTTAGGGTTAAGACCATAAAGACCGTATTTTGTTGTTAGGGGGAATCTTGTCATTATCTACATGAACTAATGGACGTCGACGTCCGTACTTTCAACCAACACTCACCTAATTGGCCTACTGCTAGAAGTGGGAGAAATTAGACTTTGTCATGATGGTGGTCTTAGAAATGAAATAATGACTCATTGCTTGTGCAATTTAAGGGAAAATTTTTCGAAAATAATTAGACAAATGGGGATGAGTGATTTTGGGATGATGTGCCAAAAGATGTTTTGGGTCGATAATGTTGATGACATTCTGACCTTCAACCAACACTTAAACTAATATTAAAAAGGTAAAACAAAGTGTTCCATTGGCTTATGGCTACGGCTATGAAAAATTGAATTTTATCTCTTGATGGTCGCCTTAGAAATGAAATAATGACACCCAATGTTGTGAAGTGTTTCAATGGAGTTTTTCGACATACATGGGGGCTTCCTATCCAAACATTTATGTACTCTGTACTAAAACATTGTCTCACTATTTGTACAAAGGTCTGGCTCAACATAGGAGTTGGAAGTCGTCATGAATTACATATTGCAATAATTACATACCAAAATCCAATAATATGAGGGTAAGGCTTGATAATTCCCAGAGCCTACTTGCATTAATTATCACGAATTTGAGGTTTTTGACTTTAGATATAGGTCATTTTGTGTTGACTTCTATTTAGATGGTACATGTTCACAGATTATTGCTTTGGGATATAGACTTATAGATCACTTATCATATGCTTTAAAGCATTGCACTGTTGAGAACTATACCGTTGCATGCCAAGAGAGTTTCATGTCATATTAAAGCAATTATTGTTGCCGTAATTCGAAGCTTCTGTGGGGATTATTGAGTTAGCTCCACCGAACTTTATGAGATGAAGCGGCAAACCTCGAACTGAAAGATACGCCAACACAATGGATACACGGAGCGATAGGACTTTTAGTGCGTTGTAATCGAGGGCACAATAGAGCTACATGCCCATCAAATATTTTTGGTTATGAAAATAAATATTTAGAAAGTAGATTTATTTGAAATTAATTTATACATGCTTTCATTATGCATTATACATAAAAAATCGTACATTTAAAAGGATTAATTTGTTCCAAAAAATTTGAATAGATAAATACATTATATGGAATGAGTTTTTTATTAATTAAGAAGCATATAATAATATATATTAATCAACATTTTATTAAAATTTAAAAAAAATAATATAAAACTATTTATTTTATTACTAACACGCCCTACACAATCTTTTTCTTCTCAGCTCGAAAAGCCAAACCTGAAGTTATTACGTTCGGAGGGGTTCAAATTAGTAGTATTTTGTGGTAGTATTTGTGATATATTACACTGTAAATATGATCAATATTATCATAATACTATCAAATTCATACCTACGGAATCCGGTCCACTGAAAGAGCCCTAAGGCAGATTCAGGCAGCACAACCTTCTACAACACATTTGCCTCTCGTTCGAGCCGCATCGGCCAACAGCGAAGCCTGTCGGAGCTACTTTAACAATGTCGTTGGCGTTACTGCGATTATAGGCCCAAAGCTCGTTTTTCTGGCGACACCCCCGTGGTTTTAATGAGAGCTTCTAAGCTGACCATCTCCAACAAAAAAAAAAAGCCTTAATCCCACTACGTGGGGTCGGCTACATGAATCCTTTTTCTCCATTGTGTCCTATTTAGTGTCATATTTTCATTTAGTTCTAGTAAGTTAGGATCGTTTTTAATAAAATAAGCCCAAGTCTTCCTAGGTCTACCTCTACCTTTCTTAACATAAACCGAATCTAAAACATCTACTCTCCTAATCGGATCATCAAATGGTCGACGTTTAATGTGACCAAACCATCTAAGGCGACTTTCTCTAATTTTGTCCGTCATAGGAGCTACACCAACCCTATCACGGATATATTCATTTCACATTTTGTCTCTAAATGTAAAGCCACTCATCCACCTAATCATTCTCATCTCGGCAACACTTAACTTATTGTTATGCTTCTCTTTTAAAGGCCAACATTCAACGCCATTGAGTATTGCAGGTCTCACCACCGTCTTATAAAATTTTCCTTTCAGTCTAAGGGTACTTTTCTATCACACAAAAGGCCCGAAGCATTCCTCCACTTGAACCAACCAACTTGAATTCTACTATTAACATCCCCATCTATATCACCATCGCTTTGAACAATGGACCCGAGATATCTAAATCGTTCACACCTTTTAATAATTTGATCACCCAAAGTCACACTTCTGTCACTAGAGCCATTACTACTAAAATTACATTTCATATATTCAGTTTTAGTTCTACTTAAACGAAGGTCTTTAGACTCCAATGTAGACCTCCATAATTCAAGTTTTTCCTGAGCTTTTTCTCTCGTTTTATCCACGAGAAGGATATTATCAGCAAAAAACATACACCAAGGTACATCCTCCTGCAAATGTCTAGTAAGACCATCCATAACTAAAGCAAAAAAGATATGGGCTTAAAGCCGATCCCTGATGCAATCCAATAGAAATAGGAAAATATTTGGTCAATCCTCCTTTAGTTTGAACACAAGTAACAACTCTAGTATACATATCTTTAATGACTTGAATATAAGTCATATCAACACCTTTCTTCTCGAGAACTCCCCAAAGGATATCTCTTGGAACCTTATCGTAAGTTTTTTCTAAATTAATAAAAATCAAATGTAGAATCTCCTAATTATCTCTGAACTTCTCCATCAAACCTCTCAATAAATGTATAGCTTGCATAGTAGACCTGCCGCATAAATCCAAATTGATTATGAAATCTTTGTGATGCGTCTTAACCTATGTTC